TAAGTCATTTTTTAAAAATATTCTTTTTGTTTTCAATATGATTATTAATTACTATATATAATTAATATATACTGTAATTGCAATTTTACATGTAGGCCTATACGGTAATCATTATAAATATTAATAATATTACTATATCCCTATTAAATATGAAATAGGGTCAACTGAAGAAAAGCAAGAGAATTAAAAGAAAAATGAAAATTTATCATTATTTATCAATATTTTTATTTTTTTATTTGTATAATTAGCTAAGCCTGCTTACACAAATAAGCTTGCCTGGTAATATTGGGGACTTCTTGGGGCCGAGTTGACTTGGGGCCGAGTTGACTTGAGGCCAAGTTGACCTGTTCCCATGAGTCTGACTTCGACTTCCGCTTAACAATTTTGGGTTTAGAAATTCATTTAACGATTTGATCATGGAGGGTTTGATCAAGTAGGCCTATGCGAGTACCCAGTGGTAACATTTTGCACTGTATCACGCCTGGTGTGGTGTTTGGTACGACCACAGACCCTGTATAATCAACGAACCAGTTTAAAAAAAAAAATAGCCTACCTGGCTACACAAAACCGGTCATGTGCTAACTCTAGTTAGCAACGCTTCAGATACATTACCTAACTTTAATAATTATAACATAAAATCAAAATATATAGAGCAACGGTAACTGTTTCCAGTAGCAATAATGATATCACATGGTTCCAAAGTTCAAAATGTACTGTAGAGGAAAGGTTTTATAGTCGTTAATTAAGGAGTGCTCTATAGTGTTACATAGTTCCCTACCTAAACATGATACAAAAAAACTTAAAGCGTACAATTCTACCGTACTTGCCAGTTGACTATGCCGGGTGTCTAGCGATATTAACCTGACTGGTAATATGTTCCTCCAGAATACGGTCACAAGCTGTAAGAATCAACCTACAGTAGAAGTCTTGCCAATCAGATAATTTCTTCACTACACCCCTCCTAAATCAACCATAGTGTTAATGCCTGGTATAAAGAAAACCACTCGTACTCGATCGACGACTTGCTGAACGCACCATGGAGCTCCATGAATTCGCACTCAAACAATGAACTTATAAAAGCTAGAATGAACGACATGAATAACAGAGCAAATAGCGAACAATAAAATCTATAAGTGAGAATGCATTGGTGTTTAGTCGCCTATACAATAGAAACGCTTTTATTAAACTCTTATTTCTACCTCTTACTCATGGGAATAGCATTTCCAATGAAAAGGGAGCGCGGACCTTTTAAAAAGGGAGTGGTAGTTAAGGGCTAACCGTATCTGGTATTAAGTTGATCGCTGACAAAGGGAATTTTAAGGGTGAATTTAAAGTCTGTAAACCCCCAAGGTTTATTCGTAGTGTGAGTGGAAGGGTTCAACCAGTGGCGGTGATATCCATTGTTCATAAGCTTATGGTTTAAAATCCCAATCCCTTCGTCCACAAATTCTGCTGTACATAATTTACCAGTTTGTAATCATTGGCAACCACTGCATTTTTAATAGAAAGGGAATGGTGCGATTTGTAATGCAGAATGATACCTTTGTTGGCCGCTTTAGTGTAAAATTTGGTGGAAATCGATCCATTTGAAATGATCCTAAGTTTAACATCGAGTATTGGTAGGAATCCATCTGCATCAGGTAATTCCATCTCAAAATTGATGGTGGGATGTTGAGCATTAATATGTTCAAGGAGGAGATGCGCGTGGTTAGTGTCTTTGACAATAACCCCAGTATCATCCACATATCTGATGTAAACAATAGGTCTGGGTATGGGGCCCATATAAATAAAAGAGCGTTCAAACCTATCAAGACGGAGAATATCAAGGGTACCACTGAGGCTATTTCCCATTGCTAAGCCTCGTATTTGTTGATAAAAGGTGTCAGCAGACACAAAGATGTTGTTATCCAATAAAAGGTGTAAAAGGTCTGAAAGATCGGTGAGTGTAAGTCCGTATCGTTCCAGTTATTATTTATCTATAATATAGATATATACTTAGGCCTATGTATTAAATATAATCTGACAATTGCATAATAATTAGAAAAGCTAAAGTATAAGAAAATCTAATGTAATGCCAAGGAATTTTGTTTCAATTACTTGTTCAATTATGTTGTTATCAATTTTAATAATTTAACTAAAATTTTCCAAAATTTTGGGCTAAAGATAACCACGGAATCAAGCAACCAATTTGTAAACTACCTGGACGTAACACTGAATCTACAAACCGGTAAGAACCAACCTTTTCGAAAACCAGGCAACCAACCCATCTACATAAATATAGCTTCAAATCACCCCCTCCCATATTGAAGCAAATCCAACCAGGTGTCAATAAACGCATCTCCATGTTATCAAGCGACGAAGAAGCTTTCAACAACTCCAGACAGATTTAAAGTGACGCACCACAATCCAGCGGAGACGACAATTTACCCTACACCCCACATCCCACATCCGGAAAACGCAAGAACTGAGGGAGGAACACGATATGGTTCAACCCGCCCTACAGTATGAATATCAAGACCAACGTTGCACGAACATTTCCACTTTCAATAAAAAAAAACAAAAAAAAAACACTTTCCTGACGGTCACGTGCTGCATAAAATATTTAATAAAAACAATGTAAAAGTCAGTTACAGTTGTGTGCCATCTGTAAAAATCATACGGTAATTAGTAAACATAACCATAAAATATTGAACCCCATTAAAAAGGCAGAAAGCGCATGCAATTGCCGCAATAGGGCTGATTTTCCACTGGATGGGTCTTGTCTTGCATCATCAATTGTGTATTTGGCCGATGTCATCACTCATGATAATGTCACAAAAACATACATCAACATGACTGGTGGTCAAATTTAAGACAAGGTACTATAACCATAATAAATCGTTTAAGAAAGAAATATACTGTATAGCAAAAAATCTGAACTATCTAAATACATTTGGTCTTTAAAAGATAAAAATATGGGATTCCGCATTAAATGGAACATAATGAAATACTCGCCTACGGACGTTGTAGCCTTGATAAGAAGATGTGCATCTTAAATGCAAATAAAGCTAATCTGTTAAATATAAGATCTGGACTAATATCCAAATGCCACCACCACCTGATGATTGAAAGCTATATATGTGTAGTACAGAGTTATACCGTATTCAGTCTATAGTGTGGCCACCTGTCTCTTATACAATATGTTTCTAAATTGGACATAGATATAATAATTCAATCTCACAAATCACTCTTTCACAGAGACGCAATATGGAGTAAACGCGGAGCAGACGGTAATTTTGATGTAGCCATGAGCTGTTACGACGGGGCGGAGGTATGCAAACTCATAGGACTCTTCATCCTCCACAAACTTGGACGGAAATTTGATAGAAATTCAATCGGCCTCTATAGAGACGACGGACTTGCTGCCTTTAAAAATATATTGACCCGCAAATCAATAGAGATAAGAGCGGAGTTTGTTTGTTTGTTTGTTTAATTTATTTCTCCACACACATGAACATATTAACATACATAACAAAAGCTTAATAGTAAAACCAACTAAGAATAATAGTACATTACAGAATAAGTGTGTGGAAGGAGGCCAAAATAAGTTTAACATAAAACTTTAAGACGTGGCCACCAGTTAAAAATATATAGAAATCCAAAAATATAAACACAAAATAAATATATATATATATACACACATGCATATACATACATATACATACACACAAAAATATATATATATGTATATATATATACATACACATATACAGTACATATATATATATATACACACACACATACATACATATACAAACAAACGTATATATATGGTGGCAGTCCGTTAAGTACAAATAAGAATGACCGACAGACAGACAGGCAGACCGACCGACCAGGAGACTTACCGGCCATACTCCGAGACCAGAGACTTTTTAAGATTGTATTTAAAAGAGTTGAGATTAGGTAAGGATTTAAAGGAAGTTTTTAAGGAATTCCATAATTTTGGACTAGAGTAAAATATGGATTTTTTTTCTAGAAGAGGATGTATATTTTTCAAATAAAACGTTACTTTTAGCAAATCTAGTATTATGGTCATGTATATCAGCCTGCTGTTTTGGAAATAGATTATGAATATGTGGGGGTAATGTTTCATTTCTAAAGCGATACATAAAAACATAGTTTATGCAAATCAAATACATTTAGAACATTAAATTTGTAAAATAAAGGTTTGGTATCGGAAATACGAGTTGTCCCTGCACAAATCCTGAGAGCTCGCTTTTGCAATTTAAAATTATTGTCAATAGGGGTTGTTTCAGGACTTGTCCAGGGACATAGATGAAGAAATTTATCAACTGTAGCAGCCCATGATGTGTTACAATAACTGATATAAGGTAAGATTAAAATATTATACAAGGATAAAAGAATGTTCTGCGGAAAGTAATGTTTTAATTTATTCATAACACCAATGTTTCTTGATATAATATTTGTAATACTGTTATGATGGGATTGCCAAGATAATTTTAAATCTAATGTAATGCCAAGGAATTTTGTTTCAATTACTTGTTCAATTATGTTGTTATCAATTTTAATAATTTAACTAAAATTTTCCAAAATTTTGGGCTAAAGATAACCACGGAATCAAGCAACCAATTTGTAAACTACCTGGACGTAACACTGAATCTACAAACCGGTAAGAACCAACCTTTTCGAAAACCAGGCAACCAACCCATCTACATAAATATAGCTTCAAATCACCCCCTCCCATATTGAAGCAAATCCAACCAGGTGTCAATAAACGCATCTCCATGTTATCAAGCGACGAAGAAGCTTTCAACAACTCCAGACAGATTTAAAGTGACGCACCACAATCCAGCGGATACGACAATTTATCCTACACCCCACATCCCACATCCGGAAAACGCAAGAACTGAGGGAGGAACACGATATGGTTCAACCCGCCCTACAGTATGAATATCAAGACCAACGTTGCACGAACATTTCCACTTTCAATAAAAAAAAACAAAAAAAAAACACTTTCCTGACGGTCACGTGCTGCATAAAATATTTAATAAAAACAATGTAAAAGTCAGTTACAGTTGTGTGCCATCTGTAAAAATCATACGGTAATTAGTAAACATAACCATAAAATATTGAACCCCATTAAAAAGGCAGAAAGCGCATGCAATTGCCGCAATAGGGCTGATTTTCCACTGGATGGGTCTTGTCTTGCATCATCAATTGTGTATTTGGCCGATGTCATCACTCATGATAATGTCACAAAAACATACATCAACATGACTGGTGGTCAAATTTAAGACAAGGTACTATAACCATAATAAATCGTTTAAGAAAGAAATATACTGTATAGCAAAAAATCTGAACTATCTAAATACATTTGGTCTTTAAAAGATAAAAATATGGGATTCCGCATTAAATGGAACATAATGAAATACTCGCCTACGGACGTTGTAGCCTTGATAAGAAGATGTGCATCTTAAATGCAAATAAAGCTAATCTGTTAAATATAAGATCTGGACTAATATCCAAATGCCACCACCACCTGATGATTGAAAGCTATATATGTGTAGTACAGAGTTATACCGTATTCAGTCTATAGTGTGGCCACTATGTAATTTCGTTTAATTTTTTTTTTGTTAAAAGCAAATTTCAAGCTGATTTTGTGTCTTTAGTGTGTATAGTGATAAAAAAGTATGTTGCCATTTTTTCTAAAAAGGTTTAAAGGTGTCAACTCCAAGATGGCCGCTAATACGTAAAATATGTTATAAATTCAACATATTTGACAAAACAACTGATCCAAATGATTGCCACAGAGGTCGGCCATTTTGAAATTCAAAATGGCCGCCATTACGAAAATAAATTATTAAAAATTATTAAATTTGAGTGTGCCAATAATGTTAAAAGTTACATGAACTAGATTGCAATAACGAAGATTGAGATATCAAAATATGATATGTCATGACTAAAAAATTCAAAGTGGCGATCAAATACAAAATGGCAACCAAAGAAAAATACTATTGTGCAAATAAAGTGGTTGGTATATTATCTACTGCAAGTGTTGGCGGATAGTGTTCTCCTAAGTTGCTGCAGCCATGATTGAAGCAACCACATACCTCCGTACACGGTAGCTTATTGATACTGCAACTACAAAAATAGTTTCCTATACATTGCGATTTGCAGCCACAATTGTAATCTGATGACCTCTGGAGCAGGGGCATTTAGACATCGCACTAGAACGAACCTGTTTTCTTCAGAT